GGTTAGCCGTTAGGTACTTTCAGAGTCCAAGTCACTACTAAACTACGATAAACGAGCCCTCAGGTTTGCTTAATGAGAAATTTCGATCGGACAAAGCACTCGCCTCACTTTTCAAGCTAGCGGCTGCAGCGCTGGAAAACATATGTTCCTCCCTGTAAACAATAAATCTGAAAAAAAAGTTGAGTTCTCATTTCACTCTATGGTGTGAGCAGACTTTCATTAGCACTGTGAAATCACCGACGAGGCCCGTGGGTTTCGAAACAGCGAGGGATGCGAGCGTGCGAGTGATCTGGAGAGGTTCTCGCATCAGGCCTCTTACAACGCCTATCTCACGATTACCTCGTTCCCCCACGCTTAGCCGCCAGTGTCGACAGTGCAGCTATTGAGAGGCTGCTCGTCGTTACGAGACCAAAACAACACATGATTGATCGGCTATAACAGTGATGCACCTTGAAGAGGAGGACAATAGAGACAACACATTTCAGAGATAACTTTAGAGGGTTGTGCGCAGACTCGTAGCTTAGTCCTTTTAGCGTTTTAAGAATGATTTGACATTTTCCTTAACAACTCGAAAAGAGTTAGAGGTAAATTTTTCGTGTCGTTGTTTTCAGAAATTGGTGTTGTGGTTAGTCTGGAACGCAGACAATGCATGAAGAAATTTGTGTTTTGGTTTAATCAGCATTTCAATAATATCAAGGTCACAACACTGGATAAAAGAGTCTGATATGAACCAAACATCTTCCGTCACATGATTGGTTGACTGAGCTAAACCCATTATGATAATAAGCAGCTAGTTCTAAGAAAAGCTAAAAAAAGATCATCGCAAGTTCATTGTTTCAAGCTGATTTCTGCCAAATAGTTACTTTCCTCGCTCACATTTGACGAACAAAATGGATATCAAATCGTTGCTACATGATCTTCGTGAAGAAGTGTCATGTCCTGTGTGTTATAACATATACACGGATCCAAAACAGCTCCAATGTTTGCACAGTTTCTGCCTCCAGTGCTTGCAGCAATGGCACAGAACAAGTCATGGCCGAGACACAATCAGATGTCCAAAATGCCAAGCTCTCAACAAAGTGCCGGAAAGTGGCGATCTGAAAGATCTACCGACCAGTTTTTACCTGAACGGCCTGATTGATGTGTTAGCCATTAAAGAATGTAAAAACAGTCAAGTACAGTGTGGAAATTGCGACAAGAAAAGTTCCGAGACATCTTATTGTTTCCAGTGTTGCATATTTTATTGCCAAGAATGCGTCATTGGACACAACATCATGCGAAACAACAGAGATCACCGTATTCTAGCGCTTAAAGATTTTCAAGAAAAGGACTTCGAGGATGTGATGACACGACCCATGTACTGCTCGAAACAGCGGCACGAGAAAGAAGAACTGAAATACTTCTGCAAGAATTGTACTACGGCAGCTTGCCAAAGCTGTGTCTTGTTGGATCATGTGGGTCACGCTATGGTGCACTTAGACGACGAAGCTGAAAAACAAAAGATCCAAATGAAATCACTGATAGAAGCAAAGAAGAGTGATTTACAAGCAAAAATCAACATTGCACGACAACTCGATGTGGATTATGCAAAAATGATTAAAATAGGAGAAGACTTGAAGCGGGAAATACAGGAGTTTGTGGACAATTTGCTTGCAACTGTTGAAGCGAAGAAACAAGCCATGTATGAAGCAGTGGAAAAAGAAACGAGGAAATCGCTCGAAATTATTACAAAGCTAAAAACGGAGATCGAATCTCAAATTGAGTTAATCGAATCATCGCTGAAGAAAGCTGATAAACTGATGATACGAAGTACAAACGTCGAAGTCGTTCGACTGATGAAACCATTTGAGACAATGTTTCAGCGAGATGATCAAAACCAACAAGTGGACCGCGACCTAAAAAAACTTCCTTTTTTAACTTTTGTGGAGAATCATAAGCTGCGGAACACTATTGAAGGCGAAGGAATTGGATCTTTGCGAGCAGTAAATCAAACAAAAGCAAACCAGTCCGTTGCTGAAGGTAAAGGACTTGAAGAAGGATTTCTTAATTATAAAGCGCAGTTTACTTTAACTACAAGAGACGCCGAACGAAGACAGTGTTACAATGAAGATGATCACGCAACGGTGGAGATCATGGACGAGCATGGACGAGAATGTGAGACGGAAGTGCAAATAGAGGACAACAAAGATGGACTCTATCAGATCAGTTATTTTCCCAGAGTTTTAGGAAGGTTTAAAGTAACAGTAAAGGTAAACGGAGAACATGTTCAAAACAGCCCTTTTAGTGTAGTAGTGAAACGATTTCAGTTCAAAGCCGTGCTGTCTTTCGGAAAAGAAGGTTCCTCTGTAGGAATGTTTTGCGAGCCTTGGGGGGTAGCAGTGAATGCCAGGGATGAAATAGCTGTAACTGATTTTAACAACCACAGAGTTCAAATCTTTAACAAAAATGGAAATTATTTAAGATCATTTGGTAAGGAGGGTGAGAAGGCGGGAGAGTTTAAATATCCAAGGGGAATAGCATTTCATAATAATGGGAAGATTTTCGTGGCAGACTCTGGTAACCACAGAATCCAGATTTTTAATGGGGAGGGTCAGTCCGTGGGCAGTTTCAGTGGGAAAGAAATCCGTGATAGTGAGCTTAATTCTCCTCGGGGTTTATGGATAGACAGTGATGGAAACATTATTGTTGCTGATACAGGTAACAAAATGATTAAGATCTTTTCTTCTGAGGGCACGTTTCTAATGAAGATAGGTGGACAGGGGGCTTTTACTTGTCCTATCCACTGTGTCCAGTACGATACATATCTCATAGTGTCGGACCAATTTGAACATTGTATTAAAGTTTATGACAGGAAAGGAAACTTTCAGTACAAGTTTGGAAAGAGAGGTGGAGGGGACGGGGAGTTAATTCACCCCGTATGTTTGTCAGTGAACAAGTCAGGACACC